ATTTAAAATTTAAAAATTAATCTGAAAACAATAGAATTACATTATTGGAAATTACTGGAATTTCGCTAATTTTTTTTTTGAAATTACTGAAACTATTTATGAATTAGGTACTGAATTTTTTCTGGAATTACTGGAATTCTTTTTGGAATTATCAAAAATATTTTTTTTTCGAAATTACGTTGAATTTCGTAGAACTAGGAATTAATTAATTTACAGAAATTATTTTAGAATTACGAAAATTAAATTGAAATTACAGAAATTAAGTTGGAATTAGAGGTATTAATTTGAAATTATAGTCTTAAAACATTTGAGTTACGATAGATTATTGAAATTACTGAAATTTGGGTGGAATTTTTTGAAATTATGTATTAAAATTACCATGATTTTTTTAATTGGGATTAGTTGTATACATTTTTTTTAAGTTAACGGCCTCTCGTTTTTTCTGATAATGCACAGAAATCAAAAAATAACTTAAAAAAAAAGATGTTAAAAACAAAATATTGTAGGCACGTCAGGCTGAAACTGATATTAAATAATGATTAGATTTTGATTTAAAACATATTCTCTACAAAAAAATTTGTTTTTTTAACTTCTCGTAATATTAAAAATTTTAGAGATTAATAAAATGTTTCATTATTGTTTATCAATAAATACCTTCGAGCAAAAACTTTTTCAATTAATATCTTTGTTAGAATTATTAATATTAATTTTCGATTGTTTGAAATTACTGGAATTATTTGTGAATCACTGAAATTTTTCAAGAATTGCTGGAATTCTTTTTGAAATTAATGAAATTCTTTTTCAAATCATCGGAATTTCTTTTAAAAATTATGTTGAATTTCTTAGAACTATCGAATTTCATTTGGAATTACAAGAATTAATTTTGAATTATAAGAATTAATCTGAAACCAATAGAATCACGATGCATTATTGGAAATTACTGAACTGAAATTATTTATAAATTACTGAATTATTTCTTATCGGAAATAATTTCTTTCAAAATTACGTTAAATTTCGTAGAATTAGATATCGGAATTAATTTGAAATTACAGAAGTTATTTTAGAATTATAAAAATTTACTTGGAATTACAGGTATTAATTTGAAATTATAGGAGTTAGTTTAAAACATTTCAGTTACGATGGGGATTATTAAAATTACTAAAATTTGGATGGATTTTTTTTGAAATTACTAAAATTAGGGTGATTTTTTTAATTAGTTGTAGACATTTTTTTAAAATTAACAGCCCCTCGTTTTTTCTGATAAATTTTGTTTAGCACAATAATCAAAAAACAACATTCTAAAAAAAGAGAAAAGAAAGAAACTGATACCAAATAATTAATAGATTTTGATTTTAAAGACATTACCTAGATCTCCAAAAAAAATTTGTTCCGACAAACTTTCTTGTTTATTTTAAACTTCTCGTAATATTAAAAATGTTAGAGATATCGTATTAACATTTTTCATTATTGTTTATCAGTAAATACCTTCGAGCAAAAACTTTTTCAATTAATATCTTTGTTAGAAGGCTATACATAAACAAAAAAAAAAGATATTTGGTCTAATCAGTTATGTCTGTAAAAAGCACCAATATAATTAATAATGTTATTAATTAATTAATAACACTAGTTTACAAATAACAACTTGATTAATAATCCTTTAATTAAATTATTATTTTTATGTTTATTTACCTTTAATTAAACAAAAATAATAGTTATTTTTTTATCACGCCACGAACGATAATTTTCGCATTTGGACTTCTTTTCTAAAAACTTAGGCAGCATGAGTGACGAACAGGGCGAGCGTTTTCATCAGGATTTGAAAGTTTTTGGAAAGAAAATATGTTAGAAAATTACTGTTGAACTATTAAACTGATCCAAGAAAGTATAAAGAACAAAGTAAAATAACTCATTTTCAATTTATTCTTTGGAGGTTTTTGTATTTTTGTATTTTTACAAAAATTTATTTATTTTTATTTTTTTTGTATTTTTATTTCTTAAATGTGACGTAGTGGACTTTTTTAAATATTTTTTTGGACTCAGGTCCTCATAATCTATAAGAAAATATAACTTTCAGCTAAGGTATAAAAATCGTGTAAACTAGTGTACGAGTAATTATTAGAATTTCGACTAATATTGAACAATTTTCCCTTTACCATTAACAATAAAAATAGGATACATCAATTAATTTTACTAAGAGCACATTTAATTACCGATTTCGAATTAAAAAGCAGTGCAGCCAACCGAACACGTCCCCAATTGAACAGCCAACAAAATTAATGCGTACGCTGTACCATAATTTATAACTTTACCTCTTCAGTTCGAATGACCATTCAAAACAAAGATTTATTACTGAGTTAAAAACATAATTAACATCTATAATTACGATCAAGCAATTAAACCGATAAATAACAACCAAAAATCGAAATCAATCAATGGATATTTTATTTATAGTCCGTTATTTGCGATAATCTCGAACGGTTTATTTTTTATTATTCGCCGATTGGAGCAAAATAATAAACAAGAATGTAAGGCCAAAACTTCCGCGGATGATAACAATGTTTCCTTCATTTTTATCGTTCGCCCAAGCACCGCAATAAACAGAAAATTAACGCAAAGTCGTAACTCGTCGCCTCTTCTTCTAAAACAATGACGGTGCTGTGGTATTTCCGGTGCAAATATAAGCCTGTAATAGGCTCGACCTCAGTGCAATAATGTAAAAACCAGTTTGTAATTGTAAACAACATTGTTATATTTTGTTGCAAAATCGGTTAATTAGCACTAGACGGGACGCGCTTTCGACTCGTATGAAGCGTGATATTTAAATTTAGTAATTAATCAAAAAGAAAGTTCAATGTATCTCTCCCATGGCCATCCACCTGTTAACCCAAAAACAAAAAGGAGCAATCAAGAAATGCCTGTTGTTGGCAGCACTTTACGCCGTCAAAATGTCAATCAAGGCAACAGGTATGTCAACAATATTGTCATCGAGAGATTACGTCGGCTGAAATATTTACACAAGAATAGTAAATATTCGAAGCGTTGCGGCCGATTTGAGTTATTGTCTGTTGTTCGTAAAACCAGTTGCAGAATTCGTAAACAAAATTAATAACTCTTAGGTGTAGAGTTACAGCGATGATATGTGAGGAATTTGAAGAATGTCTTCGCGGGAATTACCTGGCAAATGCAAGAGTAACACTTCGATTTGTCAATGTGGTCCACGGCGATCGGCTGGCCCTCTTGAGCGCACTTGGCGCGTCGCCCCTCTGAAACAAAACTTTCAGCATTAAAAGCTGTTATCACTGCTGAAATTTCACCAAATCTGGTGATTTTTATACTAGTTTAATGATCTGGTGAAAACTTTTGGAAAAATTCAAATTTTTGATGATTTTTTAGAAACGTAACTGTAGTTCCAGCAGAAAATTAATGTATTTTAAAATAATTTTAATAAATCGAGTATTCTCCCAAATGTTAGTAAAATTATCTTTTTTAATTTAATTATTGATATTGTAAATTCACTCAAAAAAAATTAAACTATTTTTTTTGTATTTTCTTGAGCATTTCAAAGACAAGTTAAAAATCGAGAGGCAGTTTTGTTTTTCTAAATAATATTTCACTCAACAAGATAACAAAATCGGTAGAATTAGTCAAAAAGTACATTATTTTGTACATTTCTGAGCGTTTTAGTATGTTTTCAGCCAGAAACAGAACTATTGTGCAAAATTTCGTTAAAAACAAACTGAAAATTTATCAAATTAAGCCAAAACTAGTGTTATTTTTGCATTTTAGAGTGTTTGAGCACGTTTTTAAAGTGCATTCAAATTTTTGGTAAAACTGACTGAAAAATTACGAAATTAGATTGAAATTGATATCATTTTAGCGTGTCTCGCTCGATTTTGAACCAAAGACTCATTTATTTTGCAGGATATTGTGTAAACTTGCTTAAACACAACAAAAATAAATTTAAATTGATGTTATTTAGTTTGTTTCAATTTAGCTCTTTTTGAGTAAAATTTTGTAAAAAACAAAATAGGACAAAAAATATGGTCGAAAATGGTGTTAATTGCAAGTCATTATTTTTGCCTTTATCAAGTGTTTTAGCATGTTTTTCAAGTAAAAATGTTAATATCGGATGACTGTAAATGATTGTCACTTTTTACTAAAAGTTGGTGTCAAATTTAAAATTGTAGTTGACAACCTTGACTTTCAAATTCAAACGTCAAACTTTTATACATATATAATAAATTTAGAAGAATTAAGAATAATTCAGTGTTGTCAATCGATTTTTTTGTCACAATCATTAATGGTTACCCGGTATTTCGCAAAATTTAATTAAAAATTACCAAAAAGTATAGAATTAGAGTAAATAAAATATCGTTACCTATTTTTGCATTTTTTGAGCATTTAAGCAGGTTTTTGAGCAGATTTTCGACAGTATTAAAAAAAATTAAATACCAAATTTTCTCAAAAACAAGTTAAAAAATCGAAAAACAGTTTTGTTTTTCTAAATAATATTTCACTTAACAAGGTAACAAAATCGGTACAATGAGTTAAAAAGTACATTATTTTGTTCATTTTTGAGCGTTTTAGTATGTTTTTAGCCAGAAACAGAACTATTGTGCAAAATTTCGTTAAAAACAAATCGAAAATTTATTAAATTAAGCCAAGACTAGTGTTATTTATGCATTTTTAGAGTGTTTGAGCACGTTTTTAAAGTGCATAAAAATTTTTGGTAAAACTGACTGAAAAATTACGAAATTAAATTGAAATTGATATCATTTTAGCGTGTCTCGCTCGATTTACTTCGTTTTTTGAACCAGAAACTCATTTATTTTGCAGGATATTGTCTAAACTTGCTTAAACACAACAAAAATAAGTCTAAATTGATGTTATTTTGTTTGTTTCAATTTAGCTCTTTTTGAGAAAAATTTTGTAAAAAACAAAATAAGACGAAAAATATGGTCGAAAATGGTGTTAATTGCAAGTCATTATTTTTGCCTTTTTCAAGTGTTTTAGCATGTTTTTCAAGTAAAACGGATGACTGTAAATGATTGTCATTTTTTACTAAAAGTTGGTGTCAAATTTAAAATTGTAGTTAGGCAACCTTGACTTTCAAATTCAAACGTCAAACTTTTATACATAATATATAATAAATTTAGAACAATTAGGAATAATTCAGTGTTGTCAATAAATTTTTTTGTCACAAACATTAATGGTTACCCGGTATTTTGCAAAATTTAATTAAAAACTACCCAAAAAAGTATAGAATTGGACTAAATAAAATATCTTTACCTATTTTTGCATTTTTTGAGCATTTAAGCACGTTTTTGAGCAGTAATAAAAAATTAAATCATATAATCTTGTAATGTGGTGACTTTTCAGCTCAGATCTGGTGAATTGAATTGTTTTGAGCTGGCAAGTGGCTGTTATTAGCGTTCTGTCATGCAGGAGCTTTAGCATTATTATCGTGATTGCAAGGAGCGAACTCTTCCTTATCAGGAAATTTATGATCAAATTGATAGTTATTATGGCTTAATGAAGACCATAACAGTAAATGGCACCAATCTAAACAGCGCTTGCTTCGCACTAGATCCTGAAAAGTTTGCCGCAGATCACCGCTCAGAGGCCAATGCTTTGGCGATTTACGAAAAAATTAAACCCGCAGGGAGATAATAGTTGAAGAAAAGTACGGACGTACATGGAGAGGAAAAAATCGCGACTAGTATCTAATAGCTCTCCTTGGAAATTACCTGGACTACCAACATCAGCAGTAAATTATTGCCCGCAAAGGAGGTTAACTATCGACTCAAATTTAGTTTTACCGGAAAAGTCGCATTGCTCCACAAACACCCAAGAAAAATTTTCTTCGAGATCCTTTCGAAAAAGTTCTTTCGTTTAAAATCTTTAATATTTTCCGATTTCTCATGTCAAAAAGTGTTGAAATATGATAACTGAACATTCTTATAATTCACAAAAATGTGACAATGATAAATTCTGAACTATTTCCCCCTTTAGTTAAAACAATTTTATAATTTACAATTTATAGTTTAAATCATTTAAAACTACAAAAATCTTTCAGTTTTAGCACCATAAATGAAAAAATTAAAACTATAATCCATAAACGACGTTTTTGGATATAGAGGAGGTTAACTGTCGACTCATATTTAGTTTTACCGTTTAAAATCTTCTGACTTTTTAATGTTTTTCGATTTCTCATTTATAATTTACAATTCACAGTTTAAATTATCTTTTTTTCATCATTTAAATCCAAAAAAATCTTTCAACTTACACACCATATTTAAAAAACTAAAAAATATAATCCAAACCCCCTGTTTTTAGATGAAATTTAGTTCTTTCCTTTAAAATCTTCAATTTTTTTGGATAAAAAACTAGGTTAACTATCGACTCAAGTTTAGTTGTACCAGAAAAGTCACCCAAGAATCTAGAAGAAAATCCTTTCAAAAATATTTTTCCTTTTTAAATCTTCAATTTTGTTTAATGTTTGCCGATTTCTTCTTCTTATAATACACAAAAATGATAAATCTTGAACCATTTCCCTCTTTAGTTCGATCAATTTTTTTAATTTACAATAAATTCGTAGTTTAAATCACCTTTTTTTAACATTTAAAATTACATAAATCTTTCAATTTTAACACCATAATTAAAAAACTGCAAAATATAATCCATACGCGATGTTTTTAGATAAAAATAAAGGCTATTAACGGATCAAATTTATTTCCTTTGTTTAAAATCTTAATTTTTCTTTAATGTTTTCAGATATCTCGCCACAAGAAGTCTTAAAATTTAATAATGGATTTACAATACAAAAAAATCTTTTATGGATAATTTTTGCGTCATTTCCCTTTTTCCATTTCTCCTTAGTATGGTCAAATTCAATAATTTATAATTCACAGTTTAAATAATCTTTTTTTCATCATTTAAAACTACAAAAATACTTCAATTTTAACACCATAATTGAAAAACAAATCTATAAATGATGTTTTTGAATAAAAATCAGGTTAACTATCGAGTCAAATTTAGTTCTTTCGTTTAAAATCTTCAATTTTTTAATTGTTTCCCAATTTCTCGCCTCAAAAAGTCTTTAAATATAATATAAAAAAAAAAATACCATACAAAAAACTCTTACGTGGATAATTTTTGAGCCATTTCCCTTTTATGTTTTGACAGATTCTATAATTTACAATTCACAATTTAAATTATCTTTTTTTATCATACAAAACTACAAAAATCTTTGAAATATAATGAAAAATGTTTTTGGATAAAAAGGAGGTTAACTATCGACTCACATTTAGTTCTTTCGTTAAGAATAAATTTTGTTAAATGTTTTCCCATTTCTCACCTCAAGAGGTGAGAAATACTTAAATCATCCTTTTTTTCATCACTTTAAAACTAAAAAAATCTTTCAATTTTAACACCATAATTAGAAAACTGGAAAATATAATCCATAACGATGTTTTTGGAAAAAAAAAGGTTAACTAACGACTCGAATTTAACTCTTTCGTTTGAAAGTTTCAATTTCCATGTTTTCAGATTTCTCGCAAAAGGTCTTAAAATATGATAATAGAACATACAAAAATTTTACATGGTTAATTTTTAAACCATTTCCCGCTTTAGGTTGGTCAATTATTATAATTTACAATTCATAGTTTAAATCATCTTTTTTCACTATTCAAAACTACAAAAATCTTTGAATTTTAAAACCATAAATAAAAAACTGTATATCTATAACAATGTTTTTGGATAAGAAAAAGGTTAACTAACGGCTCGATTTTAGTTCTTTCGAATAAAATCTTTAATTTTCTGTGATATTTTCCAATTTCTCGGCTCAAGAGGTCTTAAACTATGAAAATGAAACATTCTTACAATACACAAGAATATTACATAGATCATTTTTCAGCCATTTCCTTCTTTAGTTTAGTCAAACTTTAAAATTTACAATTAAAAAAGTACATAAATCTTTCAATTTTAACACAATAATAAAAAAATTAGAAAATATAAGGATAGATAAAGAGTAAAATCTGAAATCTCCCTTCGAAACAAAATCAAAATTTCTAGGCTAAAAATGGTCAAGGTTTGAGAAACGGCTTCTGCCGTGGACATGTCCATCGGCTGAAATTGGGCCTGAAACTGAGCCGATTACACGTTCACTAAGCTGCAACAAATTGGACAAGTTATCGATTGGTTCGGAATTTTCAGGACTCATCAATCCGCTCTAATTCGATGGAATTCCGTTCGATTTAAACAAATTAAATGTGGTCGAGTGATCGAAAGTCCATAAATAAGAGCGCGATTCCGTTTTGGTGCTTTTCTGACAGGTTGCATGTGTGACACTACGTCATGAGGTGGGCAAGAATCCGCGAGGTTAACGGCCCCATGGCAGTTGACCCAGCCGGACAAATGATCTTGAACGTACGCACGGACCTTGAGAGTAGTGCCAACATTTCCACC